ACAGGGGCAGCCTCTCTGGTCCTGCTGACCACACTGTTCCCAGTCATTCTTTTCTGTCTTTTAGGATGGGCTCATCCATGAGCTTCAGTCCCTTTGGGGTGATATCAACTTGGGCTTCTCCTTATCCCTAGGCCACACACAGTCCCTTCAAGTAGTGTACCTGCTCCAGCACAGGTCCTCCATAGGCCATAGTCCCTCTCAGTGGTGTGCCTGCTCCACCATGGAGCACTTCGACTTCCCCAGTCATTCTTTTCTGTCTTTTAGGATGGGCTCATCCATGAGCTTCAGTCCCTTTGGGGTGATATCAACTTGGGCTTCTCCTTATCCCTAGGCCACACACAGTCCCTTCAAGTAGTGTACCTGCTCCAGCACAGGTCCTCCATAGGCCATAGTCCCTCTCAGTGGTGTGCCTGCTCCACCATGGAGCACTTCGACTTCCCTGACCTTTTTGTGACCTGTCTTCATTGCTCTGTTCCTTTTCATTTCTAGTCACTTGTTAGCTCTGCGTTCCCTTCTCTTCTCCCCATCTAGTGTTTTCTGCCCTCTTTTAAATACATTTTCACTGAAGCACTATTACCTATGCCTGATGAGCTTAGCTTTGCCATGTGATGGATCTGTTGTGGAGCCAGCGGGAACTGTGTCTGGCACAAGACAGCCCCTGGTCTCTCCCCATGGAGGCCACCCCAGTGGCCACCCTGCTACCAAACCCTTAAGGTCTGCACACACTACACAAAGCTGATGTAAACTGTCTAGTTGTGCACACGGAAATCATGACTCTGGGGCCATACCTACAGGTTCAGGGAGCTGGAACTTTTGATATCCATGGTGAAAGGAACAGCTGTGCCTTTGGCCGTGGCACTGTAACAGCAGCTAAAGGGTAATGTGATGGTTAGGCATATAAATAGCTGAATACAGGAAAGAGGAGGGAGGGATTTGATCTTTGTTTCATTCCGCTGTAGTTACTATAGGAGACACTTTTCAGTTTTGATGTCTGGGCATCATGGGAAATGGCAATCAGAAGTGATTGAGGGATTAAAAAATAAATTTTAGACTTATTAGAAGCAGAGCTTATGTGGCTTCATTTACTGAAAAGTCAAGGAATGAGTTTGCCACTGTTCAGAAATACCTATTTGGCCGGGATGAAAAACGGTTGCAACAGTTCTGCAGTTAGACAGACAGCAATGAATGGTTTTAAAATCAAGCCAGACAAATCTATATTAAAGTGCACATCTGTAAATGACACAGATGGGTAGCACTGCCTATTAGTCATTAGGTCTAAAATAACTGCCCAAACAATAAACTCATGCCAAAACCAAAATTGCTGTTGAGAATATTTGTGACTTGTTGCCTTAGCAGTGACACTGGGCCACTAAGTGCTTTTTCTTGGCATATAACTGTATATAACTGGATCATCACAAAATTATACAAAAAGGCAGTGTAATGATAAACAGAGCCAAGTTTAGAACAGTGGGTTACATTAAGTGTCAGAAGGTGAATGATGATAATCTGGATGGTTAAAACAGAGGTAATAGTAAAAATATTTGGAATATAGGAAGGCTTATAAAGCAAATTTTCTTGCAGTTGCTCAAGTTTAAGGAGACTAATAACTTTAGGCACTTCTGAGACCTTAAGGAAAATGCTTCTAGCATGTAAAAAAAATAAAAATAACCTCACAAAACCTTAAACAGAAAGGCATTCATTTCACCAGTGTTTCTTATAATGCTAGGCAGGACTGACATGTAGTAGCATTTAGATTTCTAGTAACATCTTGATGCCATTAACATTTTTCCTTGAATTCAAATAAGCACCTTTTGAAATTGCTTAGTGTAGAGGGTGGAAAAATGATACCATAAATACACTATAATATGAAAAGGTGAAAAAGCTGCTATGGATAGAAAAGCTAGGTAATAAACCAGCTTGTGGAACACTTGTAGCATTTTGTTTCAGTGATGTGAACCTGGGAATCCTGATATTGTCTCTTTTTAAGATCTTTTATTTACTTTCTTGCTTGCTCTCTTGCGTCCTTTTTTTTTAAATCTTCAGGTCATTTTATGCTTCCTGGAGATGTTTGGAATTTCTGTTTATGCAGCCTTTCTCTTATTTTGCTCACAACTTTCTAGTAACAGTCCTCCTTTAACTTTTTCTCTTGTCTCTTTTAACCTAGTACAATTACAGCCATTTGGTTGACTGTAGCACCTCTGACATCACCTTTGCAATGAGTGTACAGATGGTTATTTAGAATATATTGTTTAAACACTTACTTTTAAATAATAGTGGAAGGTTAGAATGTCATGTCAGGTATGTTGTTCAGCTCATAAAATGCAAGCCTGCCCAATTTTGCTGGGCAGCAGTTTGTGTATTGACCATGAGTTGCATTTCATCATACAAAATTACAGCCTGTAGGTTAGGTGCTGGCACTTGCGCCGTATTTTTATCTTTTTTGTATGTTTGCCACATCATTTTAGTACAAAAATTATTATTCTGTTTCTTGAAGAGAATAAATCCTCTATTTGCCACATGATGGTGCCAGAGGGTAAGTGAACCAAATGTCAGCAAACCGTTGCACTGGCTCTCTGGGAACAAGAACATAAACTATTACATGCTTGGCTTGCTGAGAATAGGCTCTTGGGGAACTTTGATAAATGCCCTGTGGATAGTAAAAGTTAACCTTTTAGGCTATGTATGTCATTTTACACGTCTCCAAGTAGAAGCATGATGTGAATTTTTGGGGGTGAAGTGGTTTACTGCCAGCTGTTGCAGTGTTGTGTATGGCAGTAAGCAGTGAATCTAGTTTGGGGAACAGTGTTTCACAACAAAAAAAAAGGTTTATTAAAAGTACACTTGAGTATAATGGTAAGGAGTTCAGTATCAAATGTTGCCAAAATAAAAGGCTGATCTCAAAATACGTTTTTTAATGTTTAAAAAGCAAAATCTATCACTAGAGGATTTAAAGGGACATAATCTGCTATCAGTTCTTAAGGGAAAAATATACTTTAACAGTGTATATGGTGTAAAACTTAAAAACTCAGGCTGAAAGTTTTCTTTTATGTGTAACAAACATGCTGTTAAGTTCTGAGTGTAATATTTTGTGCGTAGTCATCTGGCATGGTCTGTGTATGAATATGTGAGGAATCCTCTGTATTGGAGTCATGGAATGGCATCTTCTTATCCCAGGTCTTGCTCAAGTGTCTTAGCTGCATTACTGGGTAATGCATGGGCACCTTGTTTTCTGCTGTCATCTAAATTTTATGTGCTTAAGCACAGCTATGAAGCCAGTGAGGAGATTTGTACTAAAACCACTTGAAAAATCCGAAAGTGGGTTCTAATGGGAGATAAAACTCAAGAGTCTTTTGGTTTTCATATGTCTTTCAGAATGGGATAGATATGTAGTCTTGTGGTGCTTCTCTGGCATCCCTAATACTTAATTTCCTTCTTGTGGTTACAGTTTGGGCACTTAAAAAACTTGTGGTTCATTTTGGAGTTTTGAACTTCATGGCAAACCGTTGCAAAAGTTGGTGGCAATTTGTTGAAAATTTTGTGAAGGAACGTCAGGAAGCTCTTGCTCCACGGCCCATCAGAGGACTTGGAAGTGTCATGCTAAAGCTTGACAGTAAGGTATTTCTACTTACTTCCTTAAGCAACTTGAAAGTTTATTTTATCCTCTGTTCACCATTTACTGAGATGCTGTAATTCTAAAATAAATGTCTGTCACTAATGGATATGTCTCTCATGTAAAACTGTATCTGTTTTATGGTGTATTTTAAACTGTCTCTTCCGTCAGTATTCACGGTTAAGTACACTTTTAAATTTGTTAAATGATTACATACAAAGGTTTACAGAAGTTACTTTTAAAATGTTGAGTTAGCTTTAGAACATTCCTTATTGGAGCAAGACAAACTTCTAATGGTTTAATCACCTCAGCTGATGATAAAGATTTTGAAGTTAAACTTAATAAGATGTTCTTATTTCTGTTGTGAAAACTTTATTTAAAAAGCAGACCATTGTGTTCTGTAAATAGGGCCCGAGCTAGTTGGAACTCATTTGTTTATAAGGTATACTATATATACTACTGTACTGGAAGTATAGTTGTTGAACACAGTGCTATGGTGGTACAGAAGTGAGTCTTCCCTCTGTAGAAGAAGAAATACATGGGATATTTTGGAAGTGCCATAGAATAAGGCTTCTGTGCTCACCTCCCTTCTCCCCCCACTCAGTGCACCAGTGTTTTCATTGCAAATTACAGAGTTGGAAAGCTCCATAAAATTTATGAAGTGTCCTCTGTTGAGAATTTTAAGTTTTCATGTAAACTGAGATTATTTTGTTTGTAATAGCTAAACCAGTGTGTAAGAATGTGCTTTCTGTAGCTGTGTTGATGAAGTATTCTCTGCTTTAGAAAAAGCTGTTACCTCTGAGTTTCTGTAGCTGAAGAGCTGAACCCTGTGAGTGTGTGTATCAGAGCATCTGTACCTTGACAGATCGGTCTGCAGTTTATAGCTCTGAATTCCCTACAGGGAAGAGCTTAAGCCTGGATCTATTGGGTAAATGGATGTCAGAAGTTGGACAAACGCATTGAAATGGCTCTAGGAAAATAGTGACAATTTCACAGGGTTTATTGAGGAAGAATTTGAAAAAGAAAAGCCTTTGAAAATGCAGCTATGAACACGATAAAGTGGTTTTCCAACAGTAGTGGAGAGTATGAAGACACTGGGATAAAAGCTTAAGTTATACAAAGCTTTTCATTAAAGAGTTTTGTGTTGTGAGTAAGAAGACTCTGTAGATACAATGTATGTATCATATTTCATGAGTTGTCAAGTTTAGGATCCATAACTGTGTGATATAGTATCCTTCCTAATTGCAATAAGTCTTTTCTCCTTGAAGAAGGTGGTAGGGCTTTAATGTGCAGCAGAACTTCCCGCTTTCCAGCTTTAATTAATTTAAGGTCAGCTTATATTCATGTTGTTCTCATCTAAGCAGAAGAACACTGTTGGCACAACTCATTTCTCCATCTCCCTTCTCCCCCCCCCCAACCCCCTTTTCTTAGATGACAGTCATACTCCTTCTGAGTCTGTGCTGTGTGTATTAAAGTGGTCCAAGCTCTTCTACAGCCATTACAAGAAGGACTCTTGATACTCTGCATGATTCTGTTGTCCTTGTTTGTGCTGATTCTAATTCTGATTCAGCTGGCTTTTCTCATGGGTGGCTGGGATTTTATGTGGTCTTTCAATGCTAATCACACTAATGCTTCCATATCTTTTAAGTTCTACCAGCTATGCTTACTCTGTGTATTGTGGGACCACAGATGCATTTTGTCTCGGATTTGGAAAGCAATGCCACAGAATATTGGTGGGGATTTTATGGGGACAGGGAAAGAAGAGGAATGAAAATGACATCCTTGCAAGATTTTTTAGAAAGGATGGATGAACTATGTTTAAATTGGATTACCAAACATTTTGGCTTCAGTAGACGCTGTTAAAGAGGAAGTAAAAAGTAAGCAAACACAAAATGGAAATTTGGGGAGTAAATTGTTACAGCTTTCCTTTTATGTGTGTGTGTTAGAAGCCAAGATTGTGGAATCATTTCCTTTGCAATTAGATGTTTAACTTTTTAGTATTTTATTTGTACTTCCTTTTGGTGGGAGCTGAAGCTGGTTAGGATTTTTGTTTGTTTTCGTGGGGTCTTTTTCATGTACGAAGTTAACTTGAGGCTGAATCTCAACAGGTATTGGGGCTCTTAGTTAAGGACAAGCCAAGGTCTGTTTCACACCAGTACCTAGTGGTACTGGTTGGTGTGGCACACGTGATATGCCCAGCTAGGAAATAGTTCCAGATTTGAGTAAGACATAGTGAGGATGAGGAAGACATCTTAGGGTGGCATGTCATTTTCTCCCAAGCAAAGTTTAGGAGGCTAGTGTAGATGGCCTGGAAAATAGCCTGTTGTGAGGAAATATGGGAGTGTACTGCTCGTGCATGCAAATCTTTGAACTTTACTCATTATGTCTGTTTTTTAAATAAAGGCAGTAAGAAAGGAACTGCTGCTTTTCTTTCCTCCTGTTCACCAGCCTTTGGTTATCTTGGAAATGCAGACAAATTTGAAGTAAAGAGAAATTCTGATCAAGAGTAAAAGTAGAGCATTGCCTTTCACTTTCTTAATAAACAGTAGGTCAATTGTGCCTGTATGTGCAGACCTACTTTTTAAATATGGGCTGTGAAAATAGGATGTCCATACTGTATTCTTTAGTTTCGGTTGTCATCCGCCAAGTCATCTTAAGACTTAATAGATATGGTATGCTTCCCTGATAATTTTTTATTTCAAGGAAGAGTGTTGTCCTTCAACACAGTGACCACAGTTTTATTTTGATTATAGAGTTTGTGAGAGAGTTCAGCAGCATAGACAGTTGCTCAGCTGCATGCACAAGACTCGTTGACTAGCTGGAATGTGCTAGTATTTTACATGGATGCTTTCTGGTGGGCTTGAGTGAATTATGTAGTTGTTAGGTGTTTTCTAGGTGTAGCACACTAGAATTTTATATATGGATTTTGTTTGGACTTTGTGTAAAGTCAACATTTCTTTCCTCTGGTACCAGGTTTAACACGTAGTTAAGCCAAGCACAGAAAATGAGCAGAGTCTCTACCAGTGCATATATTATTATAGGAAATACTTTGATAGACATGTAAGATTTTAGATAAATAGTATTCCAGTAAAAATACTGGAAAAGTGGCTGTAGCCTTATTAATTTTGGATGACTCGAAGATTAGAATTAAGCTGTAGCCTATTTTCAAACGTAGATTCATTAAATTTGTAGAACTACTTAAATATCAATATTGCTAAGCTAGTAAGGAGGTAGAGCCTCACAGGTATTGTATGAAACAGTGCTAAAAAAATTGGGTTCCTTGACATAGAATGTTATTTCCTAGTTAATGTATGTATCATCCAAAAATACCAAAGACTTTCTTTCACATTCTGCAAAGATCTTAGGCTGGTAATAGAGCTCTAACTTTCGTTGTATTTTATATGGAGTTGCAAAGTGGAGAAATACAGCCACGAGATCTGTTTTTTTCCAAAATGAACCTCATGTATAGATAGATAGTGGGTTTTAATATGCAGAAGCAAAGTTAAAGGTTGTTGAATCAGTAAGCAACTTTAGCCTTTTTCACTGAAAAACTATTCCATAGGTGAAGAGGTAAAACAGAAACAAATTCTACAGTATCAGTTTGAGACTTTTGAGGCTTTGTCATTGCTTTCTATTTACTGTGATTCTTTCCATGAGTGAGTCATAAAAGTGGGTGCTTTGTGACATATTTTATTTTCCTGTTTCCTGATGTTCATCTTTCTTTGTAAATCTGCTTCTTGTTTCTGTTCTGACTTAATTAACATTATGATTTTTTTTCTTTAATTTGAAATATTCTTACCTTTAGTTTTCATTGGGGGCTAATATAATTTTTGGAAGCTGGTGAACATGCTAGATTTACTGAGCATTCAATGATCTTGTTTTCAGCAAGAAACAAACTTCACTTATCTTAACCTCTAACACAGATGAATAACGACATTAAAGCTGTCCACTGTTGTGATTATACTGCTAATTGATTAGTAATGGCTACAATTAAGAGCACGATCCTACATAAACTAGGTCCTAAAATGGGTGTATTTGAGCATATGGGTGAGCATCAGTAAGGAAAAATAACTGCAGTACCAAAGGAGAAATGGACTGCTGAGAAGCGCAAAGAGAACTGTATGAAATCCTTACGCTTATTTGATCTGCAATTTACAGTTGTTTGTATATCAGATTTAATTGTGTATTTGATGTTGTGCCATTGAATGGGAATGTTTTCATATGAATGTGGTGCTAAACAAATAAATAAATTTTGTTTAACAGTAACTGACATGGTAGGAGTGTTTTGAACTGCATAGGAAACTGCCTGAACAGGAGTATTAATGCAATGAACAAGTATCTTGTGTTAAGTTTTGGTGTTGGGTAAAGTGACCTTCTTGGAGTACTTGTACAAGTCCTGCTCTGAAATCTGAAATGGTAGCTCTCAGTATAATTAAACTGGAATTGCCAGATTATGCTGATAGCTCTGTTAATATCATTAAAGTTGTTCATATTTGTTATATCCCTCTTTGTTTCAAAAGTGCATGTTAATAGTAATACCTAGATCCTTGCATTAGAAGTTATGATCTTTTCTCCTATTACAGTTTACCTTTGTGTCTAGAACAATTTCATTTTCATTCTGTGGATGACTTTGCCTGCCTCTCATTGCTTTTTTTCCCCTATTACTGCATTTTTCAATAATTTTCCACTGTGTTGTCTTTTTTCCCTTTTCTTCCATCTCCCCCTGCCACTGACAAGCTGTGGCACTGGCTTAATAAGAAGGTAAATAAACAGAAACATTGTGATTCCAATTAATGGATTCTGTGGTTTTGGGGAGTTTGATTTTTATTATTATTTTAATTTATTATTTTATTTATTTTGCAGCATGAACACTCCTTAACACGCCTTGCTTCATAGATTTCCTTCTCAAATGTCTCTTTTCCAGCTCTTATTATAAGCTACTGAAGGTCATATAATTCTACCCGATCTCCTGTCTCTTTCCCCAATGTTTATATTCTACCACATAGTTAAACGTTTTGTATAACAGAATATTGCATTAACCTTTCAAGTGGTAGATTGATTTAGTGGCACTTTTATTTAAGAACAGTTGATCTCCATCTGGTCCCCACTTCTCTGTATAACAAAACCAGTTCTCTCCCAGACTGGGGCACTATTATGTGCTCAGAGAAAGCATCAGTGAACTGAGTTAACATGGGAGTGATGAGGGTGTGAAGCACAGCTGTAAAGCTATGAGTGCAAGTGCTTGCAAATAGTGCATTGATTGGTTTCAGTCACTGCTCTTAATCTTTGACTTCTGAAGTGTCAAACTTGCCCGTGTACACAGACATAGGATGTAGTGTACCAAAGTGAATACAGACATACTGGTATGTAGTGTGCTGGGAGTGAAATGAGACTTCCCATGGCCTCAGAACTGCTGAATCTAACTACAGTCTTAAGGGAAGTGAGAGCTAGTAAAAAAAAAAATTAGAAAATTAAAGTAGTTAGAATTGTTATTCCTGGTTCCCATGGTTTGTCGTAGCCAGCTAAGTTTAACTATTGTTCTTTGGGGAACTGTCATCCCAAAAGAAGTTAAAACTGATTTGGCTTCATGTATGACTGAAGTCTGGGGAACTCCTCAGTGCAGTGATACCTCTCTGGGACTTGGGCATTGTCATTGCTTCAGACAAGCACAGAGCTGGGGAGGAATGCCTATAGCATGTGCATGGCCACAGGACCTCAGAGTTTTATAGATGAAAATCTGGAATGTGATAAAATATATACACACATAAAATGTAAATAAAAAGTTCTTATAAACAATGCAGTGGGGCTGCACAGCTGGTATCTGCTGTGGATGGCAGATGGGGAATAATGCTGCATGCAGTGTCTAGGCTGAGCAACTATAAAGAATTTAGAAGGTTTAATCTTCAGTTCCTTAATCAGTGAATCCAGGGTTGTATGTTGGGGGTGCTTTCTGTGTTTCTGAATGAGAGGGTAGAGTTTCTTCATGCTTCATAATTTATATGATTTATAACTGTCCATGGAGAAGAGAATTTTTGAATGTTCTTTGGTCTTGGCCATAGTTTTCCCTTTCTAAAATTGCATTTTTATTGCCTGATTTTGTAATGTTTGTCTTGTGTGAATCACTTGCAGTTAGAAAATATATGCAACCATAACCCTTCATAAAATTTTTGTTTGTATTGGTTTGTTAGCACAGTTTAGGTGAAGTGCTGAGTTCAGTGAGCCACAGGTAAAAGTTTAATCTCAAGTATGTTTTTTTCTGGCTCTGAATTTGTCATTTCCTTGTTTGAAAATTCACATGTATGGGATAATCTTTTTCCTTAATATCAATATGTTGCAAAAACAATTTCACTGTAATTACTTTAAGCTCTACAATTTCTGGATTGTATTTTTAGTTTAGAGCCTTGCATTATTTGACAAAACCCTGTGGATATAATTTCTTAACAGAGTGAGGGTTTTTAGTTCCTAGGAGCTATTTTTTAAAACTATTGGTTTACTTTACAGTTTCATAGGAAGAAATCCTGAAAGTCCTATAGTGTTACATGCAGTCCTGACTCCTGTGCATGAACATAAAATAATATTATAATAGAGATTAAAATAAAAAGCCACAATAATATACAAGCTGTATCAGGATCTCAAGGGTTTGGTTAGCTGTGGGTGGTTTGTGCGTTTTCTTAATAATTAAAACTAAAATTCATGCCCTACCAGAGGGAAAGAAAGGAGGGGATTTGTAATACAGAACACTGCATGCAGTTAGAAGATTGATTTTTGCACTTTCCTCCTTTTTTGCCTGTCTTTTGAAGGGAATTACTTCTGAGAACATCAAGATACATTTCTGATAATCCAGCAGGAAATTAAAAATACATCACCTGGATATGGCAGAGTTTGAAATGGTGGTTGATTGTGACTGCTAGTGATAAAACTTGTTTTTTAAATTCCTGTGCATGATATATGTAGCCCAAAATATAGAACAGTTCCAGTTGAACTAGCATGATTTATTCTTTATAGCATTGCCTATGGCAGGAGTCTTTAGAAAGAACTGCAAATTCC